GGTAGTGCCTCATTCAAAGCCCGGCCTGGGCACATTGTCCTCCCAGATCGGCAGAGGAGAATGGAGTTTGCTGGTGGCTGCCAAAAGGTTAGCAGCCTCAGTGAAAAGACCCACCTATTATTCACTGCCCTTTACAGAACCCAGGCTCCCCTTGGGCTCCTCCTTTCCCTTTGCACTGCCAGCTTTTTCCCACTCTGGTGCACCGGATCTGCGCCTGACAGCTTCCCAAAAACCCAAAGGGTGAGGCCCGTCCCCCCCCCCCCCCCCCCCCCACCCCCCACCTCTGAATCCCTCACAGGAAATGCCAGGGTAAGTGGACACATCAGGACCTGCAGCACCTACTTTATATCCAAACCTTTCAACAATGTGAGCAGAAACCAGGTTAGTGACACCAAACAGCTCAGAGCCAGAATAAAAACACCTGAAGCTCAGATCTGTCATTTCGGAATAAAGACCTCGGTTCAAAGTGAGAGGCCTACACGGATGAGTTACCGTTGGTGCAATAATGAGATGTAACCAGTAATATAATCAACAGTTGTTATTAACCCACTTTGGCATTTTTTACAGACCCAGATGTAGACCCAGGTCTAATGGGCCTTTTCCATCGCCCAAACAGGCATGAACGGGAAGGATCGGGTCGCTAATGTTTCTGTTCTGATTGTAAAACCGGTTCAGACAACCGACCCGAACCGCACCAGTCACAGGACTTTTTTGGCTCCCTTCTGTTGTAGGTCCACAAGTTCAGTTCAAAGTGTGTGTGCATGGTTGTTTGTCCTGTGTGTCTCTGTGTTGCCCTGTGATGGACTGGCTCTCTGTCCAGCCTGATTGCCCATTGACCGCTGGAGATAGGCACCAGCCCCCCCGCGACTCTTCGTGGACAAGCGGGTTCAGAAAATGGATAGATGGATGGATGGATTTTCTCCAGAATAACCAACCTTTGTTCTGATTACTGCTTTGGTATTCTCTTGATGAGCTTCAAGAGGACATCCTTCAAGACTGTTGGAAAACCATTTCAGGTGACTACCTCATGACTCCTCGTGCGTTCATTCATAGTTTTGATGCCTTCAGTGAGAATCTAGCAATGTAAATGTCATGAACATAAAATGTTCAAACACATTGAATGGCAAAATGGCCTGTATTTGATATAGCGCCTCCTAGAGTCCTGGAACCCCCCAAGGCGCTTTACAATACAATCAGTCATTCACCCATTCACCCGCTAGTGGGGATGAGCTACGATGTAGCCACAGCTGCCCTGGGGTGCACTGACAGAGGACACTGGCGCCACCGGTCCCTCCGACCACCACCAGCAGGTAAGGGGGGTTAGGTGTCGTGCCCAAGGACACAACGACAGGGACAAACTGAGTGGGGCTTGACCCTGCAACCTTCCGATTACAGGGTGAGCTCAACTCCTGTGCAACCGTTACCCGACGGTGTGTCCAAACTTTTGGCCTGTACTGTAGGCCTAGATACAGACCCAGATCTAGATCAAAGTCCAGGTCCAAATCCAGCTCCAGATACAGACCCAGCTCTAGACCCAGTTCCAAGTCCAGACCCAAATCCAGGTCCAGATCCCGGACCTGGTCCAGAGCCAGACCCAGGTCTCTTCTGCAGGTAAACAGCTACTTAGAGCACCCTATCCCCCACCACCCCTGAATGAGTGCCGACTTGGCTTCATTCTGCGTTAGCGTGGCCAGGTAATGAGCAGAGGTTGGACTGAGCACTCCATCATCTCACTCTGCAACAAATAAATCTGCCATAAATCACGTTAACACGGCCCAGGACCAGAGAGTTCAGCATTAGCTGGTTTTAGGAGCATCAGCAGTAGAGGTGGATCATCAGACAGAATGAGGAACTGCAGCAGCAACACTTCCACAAGTTAGAATGCAGCAAGAAGCTAAAGAACAAAAACACAACAACAAAGGAAAGACGTAAGAATCTGACTGGACTAAACGAGCTGGCGATGTGGAAGAGACCTTTGTGAGAGGTTTATAATCAGCATATCTGACCACTTGGACATGCATCCGTTGCAGCCAAAGCCAGAAACATTCAAAAGAAGAAAAAGCTGGAGATGTGTACAAAAAAAGAGTTAACATGTAAAAAAATAACAAAGTTAAAGTTTGTAAAAAGGAAAACATTATCAGATAATTCACTTCAGTGTATTTATATAACGCCAAATCATGACAAGAGTCGTCTCACGGCAATCAGTAACAAGTTTCCTATATAAGGAACCCAGCACGTTGCACCGAGTCACTGACTAGTGTCAGAGTCTTTACAGCAATCCTCAAACTAGCACAAAAAGAGAGAAAGAAAAGTTTCTTAAATGCAACTAATGTCAGTCAAAGACTTAAAAGTCCAACTTTCAAGGATTTTAATGAGCAGAAAACCAGCTCCCGTTATCACATCATTATAAAGTTACTGGGAGCTCATTTAGATTTTAAAAAGTCTCCATTTTGTCTCCGTTTGGTTGCCAGCTCTGTTCAAAGTTATTTCACATTTCTCCCCAGTGGCGGCTGGTGAAAAAAAATTCTTCATGGGACTTAACAGCTGTTTCCGACTCGTTAATATTTGTTCATGTAACGTAGCTTAGTGCTTGAGAGAGGGAGAGACGCCTGTCATCCTATTCAGAGCAGGCAGCTGGATCCGACCCAGAAACCAGCTTCCCTGGCCTGCTGGAAAATTTGAAAAGCTCTGCTTCCGCTTCTGGAGCTCAGCACGGACCTCCCAGACCTGTTTCCATGCTGATTGGAGCATTTTTCAAAACTCCACCATGAGCAGTGTTGGGAGTAATGCGGTACAGAAGTAATTAATTACTGCAATGCATTGCTTTTTGTTGTAATGTGGCATTACAGGGAAAGAAAATGGTAATATTTACTCGGTACAATTGTCAGTAACGCAGTAATTACAATGCATTTTAAACCCAGAATCAAGACGCGTTTCTTAAAAATTCAAATTGCGGGAAACCCGAAAAAAGATCCAGTATCTGTATATATTACGTCATTTATGGACTCAGCTTTGCAGGCAGAGAGGACGCAGCGGTACCGGCTCAAATACTCCAGCGGCATCCTCCACGCGGCCGCTGTAACATTCACAAAATCGCTCCACTAAAACAAAATAATTCACCTGCGATCGTTCATATCAGCGCATGTTCTCTGGTATTCTGTACTTTTCTGATGTGCTTTGCCTCATCTGAGTTAATCTGGGCCCCGGTGATTTTAACTCATTGCTGCTGGAGCGCTGCGCATGTGAAGATCCCTTTGGCTGATAGTTAGAAAGTAGGAAATCTAGGAAACGGGTTTTCTGGAAGACGGAGAAAACATGCTGCATGCAGGGAGGTTAGAGAGAGAAAGGGCAGGAAATAGTTCAAATAAAATCAAGAAAACAAAACAAAGTGCTTGAAAAGACAAAAAGTAGGTAGATTTATCCCCAATACACATTTTTACCAGTGAAAAGCAATAATATATAAGCATTCAATATGTATACATGTGATAGAATCAGATCACCCCAGAAGCCAGTCCCACATCCAGGGCCGTATCAAGGCATTTGGGGACCAAGGCTAAATAGACTTGGAGCCCCCACCACCTCACTCCCTGCTCAGTTAATCTAAGATGGCAGCGTGCTGAGAGTACAGATTGTTGTTGCATTTATTACATAAACAATCCTTCTAAAGTTCTGTTTTTAACAGCAATCCTAGCTCAGACACCACATCACCTTCCACCGGATGTGTCATGCGTTCACCAGGCATCAGATTACCAAACTCATACTGAAGTTGTTTTGTTGAAAGTAACTTAGAGTAATGCAAAAGTAGTGTAATGCCTTACATTTTAAAATCAGTAATATTGTAATGTAATGAATTACTTTAAAATGAGGGTAACAAGTAATAAATAATGTATTAAAGTTTTGAAGTAACTTGCCCAACACTGAACACGAGACCCTGGATTATAGGAGGCATGCTGAACTCACCTAAAATATCACTGGAATTGTAATCCTCCGGTCTGAAGTGCACAACCAGAAATGTTCGTATTTTCAGTTGTACAAAACGCACCAGGAACAGAAGATAGTGCCGTTTATTCTCTTATTTGGAAACCTGTGGACTGGATGTCCGGACCCTCTGGAGTTCGTACATCTTCCACACATTATTTTACCGTTTTTAAAAACAATGAACACAATCCAACACTAGTGAACACACACCGACTTGATAACACAACATATCTACCCAGAAACGACCAACTCGCCACACTGAGCTTCAGGCAGGACTAGCTTACAACTCATCGTCCTTATGCCAGAGATGAAGATATTAAAAAAAAAAAAAAAAAAAAAAAAAAAAAAAAAAAAGCTTTTTTAGAAACTTTGCTGAAAAAGGGTCATTTTAACTGAAAATAAGGGGCTGTTATGCATTGTAAAACAAAATACCCACAATAAGCATTTCAAATAGTGGTTTTGGGACAGCATTTTATATGAAATTAAATAAAGTTTTACCTGTAATTTGCTCTCTAATGTACATTGTTGGTGTTTGGCACTTTAAGCGGCCATAACTGGCGTAAGTAAAGGGCTTTGCAAATAAATAAATAAATAAAATGAAACGGTTGAAGAAATTCACTGTTTAATGGGAGAGCTGATGAAAATCAGGAGTAAATCATTCAAATTGCAAATAGACACACACAGTTAAGCATATCTGACACAATTATAGTAAATATTCAATTCTATTGTTGTTTTATTTCCTTTTTAGATTTTTTTCCTCCATTCTACCAGGCAGGGTGGCGCCCTAGTGTCCCCTATGGACGAGCCGCCGTGTTTCTCGTTCGTGAAATGAAGTAAGTGACCAATCTGAGTATTTTAGGGAAAATTTGTTGTTGAAATTGTTCAAAATCTCTGAGTGATGCGAGAGCAAATACCTGCAACTCACACAAGGAATCAATGAACTACTGCAGATGTTTTGAGACATTTTGGAAACTCCCTCTCAAATGTACCGGCAGGCAGAGTGTGTCCCACGTGTCCCCTACCTGTCTAAAACGTAGCCCAGGGCCTTCTGCCGGGTCCCAGAGTAGATGGAAGGACTTTTCTCCCAGGCCACCAGGTTGGAAGCATCGTGAAAAAGGTGAATGTTGACCAGATCAAAGGCACTGAGGACAGAAGAGCACTTGTCAGTTCATTTCCTACAGAACATCACAACCTGACCCGGTCCCTTCAGTTCTACTTCAAACATGGATCAACTGATTTCATTTATTCCAGAGAGGAGAAAACATGGCATTGACAGTGATGAACACCCCCACTGATGGTGTTTGTTTTGCAGCGGGATGGATGATCTCAACTCCTGGGGTTTCCTCTGAACTAATGACAACATACTGTACCGTTGGTGTCTGTGCTCCCAGTCCCACACACACACACATCTAACATCACGCCTCTATTAACTGCTTAGCATTTTAGCTCTCATGTCATCCCTCCATTAGACCCCCCACTGGGACTCGGCTCACTGGAAGCAGAGGTTGTATTTATCCTGCACAGGTTCAATTGGATCTGATGTTTACGGTCATATGTTACACGCAGCTGTTTGGCTAACAGGATTACATCTAATCACATCTCTGCTCACCACAGTTTACACACGGTACTTAGCTCCCAGTAGCCTGTTGGAGACCGCAGAGCGGCCTGGCCCGGCCCGACCCGGTCCGAACTCCGTCTGTAATCACGCTGATAGGCCTGAGGAGTGATGAGGTGGGACACATTACAGCAGAGATCTGCTAATAAAACTCACCAGTCAGCCAGGGCCCATCGAGTTCTGATGAATCCCTTCCTGGACCACTTGCACTGTAAGAACAGAGACTGGAGTTAGAGTGACGACCTAGGACGTCTGACAGCTGGAGCAAACAGCAGTGAGAGAGTCAAATTAACCAGATTCACTAGTTTATCTAAACTAAACTGTTTAGTTCTGTTCAAATAAAAAATGTAATCTAATGTGAGTAATTAAAGCAGGTTGAGCAGCAAGAATAGGAATGGCATTAGTGATGGTTTCTATGACAATTATCCATCCATGTTTGACTCCCTGAGGTTTCAGGTCCAGGAAGGAAAACAAGAACTTTCTCTCCTCCTGAAGGTTTTTGAAGCACCAGAAGAAATGATTAGCCCTCCAGAAAGTTCTGGATCCCCTCCCACTGCCTAGAGAACCTTCAGATGAAGGTCCCCAGAAGGCATCAGATGCTTGATCCAAACCTCATAATCAAAGTTGAAGGTTTAGATCAGGGGTCACCAAACTGGTTTCCTCTGAATCACTAAATGGTTCCCGAGCGTGGCTGTGCCTGCAGCTCACCGCTCTCCCAGGGGATGGGTCAAATGCGGCAAACAAATTTCACACACACATCAGTGTGTCAGACAAAGTGTACTACAGATTAGAGTTGGGCGATTTGTATCATTCTCCCCACCGCCAATCGTCAGTCCAATAAATGATGATAGGCGATTCGTTCATGCATGTGACATCATGATGCACGCATTGACTTGCAAACACAGAAGAAGTTCAAACACTGATTTTTTTATAGAAGTGTAGTGAGACAGTAGTGATGTGTAAGGCGGCAGTGAGGTGTGGGACAGAAGGGTAGTGTGAGGCAGATGGGAAGAGTGAGACAGCAGTGAGGTGTGAGACAGAAGGGAGGTGTGAGACAGCAGTGAGATGTGAGACAGAAGAGAGGTGTGAGACAGAAGGGAGGTGTGAGACAGCAGTGAAGTGTGAGACAGAAGGGAGGTGTGAGACAGCAGTGAAGTGTGAGACAGAAGGGAGGTGTGAGACAGAAGGGAGGTGTGAGACAGAAGGGAGGTGTGAGACAGAAGGGAGGTGTGAGACAGCAGTGAGGTGTGAGACAGAAGTGAGGTGTGAGACAGCAGTGAGGTGTGAAACAGCAGTGAGGTGTGAGACAGCAGTGAGGTGTGAGACAGCAGTGAGGTGTGAAACAGAAGGGAAGTGTGAGACAGCAGTGAGGTGTGAGACAGCAGTGAGGTGTGAGACAGCAGTGAGGTGTGAGACAGCAGTGAGGTGTGAGACAGCAGTGAGGTGTGAAACAGAAGGGAAGTGTGAGACAGCAGTGAGGTGTGAGACAGCAGTGAGGTGTGAGACAGCAGTGAGGTGTGAGACAGCAGTGAGGTGTGAGACAGCAGTGAGGTGTGAGACAGCAGTGAGGTGTGAAACAGAAGGGAAGTGTGAGACAGCAGTGAGGTGTGAAACAGCAGTGAGGTGTGAGACAGCAGTGAGGTGTGAGACAGCAGTGAGGTGTGAGACAGAAGGGAAGTGTGAGACAGCAGTGAGGTGTGAAACAGCAGTGAGGTGTGCGACAGCAGTGAGGTGTGAGACAGCAGTGAGGTGTGAGACAGAAGGGAAGTGTGAGACAGCAGTGAGGTGTGAGACAGAAGTGAGGTGTGAGACAGCAGTGAGGTGTGAAACAGCAGTGAGGTGTGAGACAGAAGGGAGGTGTGAGACAGAAGGGAAGTGTGAGGCAGAAGGGAAGTGTGAGACAGAAGGGAAGTGTGAGACAGAAGGGAAGTGTGAGACAGAAGGGAAGTGTGAGGCAGAAGGGAAGTGTGAGACAGAAGGGAAGTGTGAGACAGAAGGGAAGTGTGAGACAGAAGGGAAGTGTGAGACAGCATTGAGGTGTGAACCTGATACCAAAAGGTTCACTCCACTGGCGGTGTCCATCACGACCTCTTGACCCCCTGGATCTGAAGGGGATCTCCACAGAAGGGTGCGTAGAATCGACACAAATTGCGTCGGATGGTTTTATAAGCAAATCTCTAGTTCACCAAACATACAGCCAAACTGATTTTACACCCCAGACTCCACAAACTCTCTCAGATACTTACGAAAGGTTTTGCTAAAACGTCTAGCTTCCATTCCATCATTTCACATTAAGTCACTCCATATCTGTTACATGACATCATATTCATTCCATTCATACCTGCTCATATAATCAGTTTAGGAAAATGGAAATAAATTCATTTTTATAAACTGAACTTGACTCAGAATTAATATGAAGTGTGTTTATGGTCCCTGAATAAGTAGAAGAAACTATACTCTTCTGATTAAACATTCAAAGATCAATCAGATTGATATTTCATATTTATATGGAATATCACATCTTATTGATCATTTGTTACATATGTAGCCACTCCTCAACGCTACACCTGTCTGTCAGTGCATTAAACCCCTGGCTGGTCAGATGCTGCTGTCAGTCATTGTGGGAACGAGCACGGTGTTGGATAACTCGTCTCCTCTTTCCTCTTCCATGCCTAGACTGAAGGTGCACTCACAGCGGTGGTGCAGCTTGTGCTCACAATGTGGCCCCTCATGGAGCGTGAGTCATGACAGGAGGGGCAGCGATGGGTGGCCTGTGGATGTCTGATGACAGACAGATATTTGATCAGAAATCTCTGAACTTTCGACTAATAAATGACTGCAATAACTCAAAATTAGAAGTGGCTGCACCGGTCCACTTAAACACTGGGTGGGAAGCTGGACATTCCCGCAGCCTGGGGGATCTGCGATAAGTGTGGCGGGGGAGGTCAACACCGGCCCTAGAACACACCAGCTGTTCTGGGACTCTCCAGAAACTCCTCCACTGTTGTAACATCATATTAGGTCAGTAAACAGGCACTGAAGGACCCAAATACACAGGCGCCACTGCTAAAATCATGCCATTTTGAGCTTTATTGCTTGGGTTTAAAGTGTCCAGTCATTTGCTCCGCTCCCGGCCCAGCTATGATTTGTTCCGCTAGTGAGTTCACCATTACTTTACATTACAGCAGTTAGATGACTTCAAACCTCTGTCTCACTCTGAGATGACCAAAAGGACACTCAGGCCCACTGACTCCAGTCCTGGGGGAGTCTGAGGTCATGTGGGGGAAGAGAGGATGAAAACTCCATCCCCTCTAAATCAGAAGTTCTATGAAGACAGGATGAGGGTTCAGAGAGAGCATTGGTCCAGTCCAAGTGGCACTGATGAGGCGAGCCCCCCCCCCCCCCCCCAATACATAATCTCATCTCTTTACAACTGGAAGGACACCTCGCTCCACTGAATCAGGAACGACCAGAATGTGCAACAGCTTCCTTCCTCAAACTCTCGTCTAGAGGGAAAAAATCTGTTTCACTATTTCTGTTTTTGTGCCTGATGTGTGACGAAGGAGGAGCTAAAGGTTCAATCTGTGTTAGATGGGGAGAGAAGAGAAAGAAGGAAAGGAATGATGAGTTAGAGAAGAGAGGGAAGAAAAGACAAGAATCTAAAAAAGGAAGTAGACAAGCCTTCTTTCTTTCTCCATTCCTACCTTTCCTTCTGTTTCTTTTGTACTTTCTTTAGTTTATTCGCAGTTTATTCTTTCCATCATTTATTTATTTGATCTTTTTCTCAAACTAAGGAAAAAGAAAAGGAAGGAAGAATGAAAATTAGGAAGCAGAGAAGCAAGATAGGAAGAAGGAAACAAACTGAAGAAAAGAAGCAAAGGGAACAGGGAGAAAAAAATGAAAGAAGTGAAATCTTATTTTAGTAAATCTGATCCAAAACTCTTCAGTTAAACATCTGATCCACATCTGCTGATGTGACTCTGTACAGACTCCACCCCCCTTCAAACAGACTCCACCCACTCTGTACAGACTCCACCCACCTTCATACAAACTCCCCCATTCTGTACAGACTCTGCCCACTCTGTACAGACCCCCCCATTCTGTACAGACTCCCCCACTCTGTACAGACTCCACCCTCCTTCATACAGAATCCTTCCACCTTCATACAGACTCCACCCCTCTTTACAGACTCCACCCACCTTCATACAGACTCTGTACAGACTCCCCCACTCTGCAAAGACTCCACCCACCTTCAAACAGACTCCCCCCACTCTGTACAGACTCCACCCCACTCTGTACAGACTCCACCCACCTTCATACAGACTCCACCCTACTCTATACAGACTCCACCCACCTTCATACAGACTCCCCCCACTCTGTACAGACTCCACCCACCTTCATACTGACTCCACCCCACTCTGTACAGACTCCACCCTCCTTCATACAGAATCCTCCCACCTTCATACAGACTCTGTACAGACTCCACCCACCTTCATACAGATTTCCCCCACTCTGTACAGACTCCACCCACCTTCATACAGACTCCACCCTACCCTGTACAGACTCCACCCACCTTCATACAGACTCCCCCCACTCTGTACAGACTCCATCCTCCTTCATACAGACTCCCCCATTTTGTAAAGTCTACCCCCATTCTGTACAGACTCCGCCCAGCTTCATACAGACTCCCCCATTCTGTAAAGACTCCACCCACCTTCATACAGACTCCCCCATTCTGTACAGACTCCACCCACCTTCATACAGTATCCCTCCACTCTGTACAGACTCCACCCACCTTCATACAGACTCCCCCCACTCTTTACAGACTCCACCCACCTTCATACAGACTCTGTACAGACTCCCCCCACTCTGCAAAGACTCCACCCACCTTCATACAGACTCCCCCCACTCTGTACAGACTCCACCCCACTCTGTACAGACTCCACCCTCCTTCATATAGACTCCCCCCACTCTGTACAGACTCCACCCACCTTCATTCAGACTCCCCCCCACTCTGTACAGACTCCACCCACCTTCATACAGACTCCACCCACCTTCATACAGACTCCTCCATTCTGTAGTCTACCGCCACTCTGTACAGACTCCACCCACCTTCATACAGACTCCCCCATTCTGTACAGACTCCCCCCACTCTATACAGACTCCACCCACCTTCAAACAGACTCCCCCCACTCTGTACAGACTCACC